AAACAAATAAACAAACAAACAAATAAATAAATAAATAAATCTTTTTAAAAAAATAAGTTCCAGACAAAAAAAGAATAATGAAGTTGATGAGGGGGAAGAAACAGAACCTATAAATCTGAACCCCGATTAGGCTAACATCAGACTTCTGTGAAGAACACTACAGACAAGAATAGAATAGAGTGACATATTCAAATCACTCCAAGATAAAAACTGCTAACCAAGAATACTCTATCCTGCAAAGTGATCCTTCAAATAACAGGGAGAAATAAAGGTCTTCTCAGAAAGACAGGATCTTAAAGAATTTGCAACAAGCAGACCACTGCTTCCAAGAAATATTGACAGAAACACAAAGAACTGCACAAGGAAATAAACAGAAGCACAAAATTATGGATAAATTGGTAATAATCACCTTTCATATATCAAAAATCACTCTAAATGTCAACAGGTTGAACTCATCCATCAAAAGACACAGACTATCTAGTTGGATTAGAAAACAGAATCTGGTATCTGCTGCCTCCAAGAAACTGAAGTTCCCAGGATGAACACAGACTGAAAGTAAAGGGTTGGGAAACAATTCTACAAGTGAAAGGCAGAACAGCCATATGTACACAAGATAGACCTTCAGCTAACAAAAGTAACAAGAGACAGAGATGGACACTATATAAATATTAAGGGAACACTATCAGGAAGACCTAACACAAATGCCTATGTGGTTGGAGTTTTCAACACACCACACTTGCCAATGGACAGGTCAATTAGCCAGAAAATAAGTAGGGACACAATCATCTTATACAAAGAATTACCTAGGGGGAGGAGCGCTACTGAAAACAGTGACCCACATGGGTCTAATATACATTTATAGGGCAATGCACCCCAAAAAAGCCAAATACACATTTTCCTAAAGTGCACATGGATCATTCTCCAAGACTGACCACATAATGATCACAAAGCAAGTATCAACAAATTCATGGAGACTGAAATCAAATATAATGGAGACTATAATCAAATTCATGGAGACTAGAAATCAAATACAAAAAGAAAGGAAACCCTCTAATACATGTAGACTAAACAATACACTACTGAAACACCAATGGATCAATGAGAAAAATCAAAGAGGAAATAAAAAAATAACTTGAGACAAATGATACTCCTTCCAGAATGTATGGGAGACAGCAAAAGCAGTACTAAAAGTACATAGCAATACAGGCCCTTATCAAGAAATAAAAATGAAATGAAACACCCCCCCCAAAAAAAAACAACAATCTAGTCTCTCATCTTGAGGAACAAGAAAAAGAACTAAAAAAAAAAAAATGCCAGAAGGAAGGAAATAAAAAAAGAGAAGAAATAAATGAAATAAATAAATAGAAATAAAATGACAGCCCAAAAGATCAATGAAAGAAAAAGCTGGTTATTTCAAAAAGTAAACAAAATAAACAAACCTCTAGGTAGGCTCACCAAGAAAAAAAAAAAGGAGAAAACTCAAATATGATTTAAAAAAAGGAGAAGTTATTATAGACACTGCAGAAATGCAGAGAATAAGAGATTGATATGAACATTTATACACAGTTTTAACAACCTAGATGAGGTGGACAAATTCTTAGAATTATAAAATCATTCCATGCTGAATATGGAAGAAATAGAAAACATGAACAAAACAATTACAAGCAAGGAAATTGAAAGAACAATCACAACTTTCCCAAAAAACAAAAGTCAGGAAGAGATGGCTTCACAAGTGAGTTCTACCAAACTTTCAAAGATGAACTATTATCTCTCCCACTCAAAGGCTTTCAAAAAACTGAAAGTGAAGGCATACTTCCAAGTATATTTTATGAGGCCAACATCACTCTAATACCAAATTCAAACAAAAACAACACAAAAAAGAAAACTATAGACCAGTCTCCCTAAAGAATACAGACACAAAAATCCTCAATAAAATCTTAGCAAGTCAAATTCAACAATTCATTAAAAGGATTATACATGTTGACCAAGTGGGATTTATACCAGGAACACAAGGGGTAGTTCAACATTTGAAAAACAAGGTAATTCATAACATTAACAAAAAGAAAGATAAAAACTACATGATCATGTCAATAGATATTGAGAAATTATTTAATAAGAGCCAACATCATTTATGATGAAATCTGTCAAAAAATAGGGATAAATGGAAAATATCTTCACATAATAAAAGTGAAATACTTCAAGCCTGTCCATTAAGATCCAGTGTAAGAAAAGTATGTCCACTCTCACCACTACTATTCAACAAAGTGTTGACAAGGGATAGATATCCAAGTTCTACAAAGAATGCATACAACTAAACAAAAACAAATAGCCCAATAAAAAATGGGCAGACGAGCTAAACAGGCAATTCCCAAAAAAGACAAACAGACATTCAACAGGCTCCACTTGAAAAAATGTTCATAGTCACTTATCAGGAAAAGACAAATCAAAACCATAATGAGATATCCCCTGACACCCATATCAAAAAGACCCATGTCATTGGCCCATATTAAAAAGACCAGAAGCAGCAATGCTGGCAAGGATATGGAGAAAAAGAAATGCTGTACACTGTTGGTGAGAATATGGACTCATCTGGCTCCTACGGAAAGAAGTGTGGAGGTTTCTCAAAAGAAAAAACTGCCACATGATACAGCAATTCCACTCCTAGGTATCTACCAAAAAAACACAAAATTTCAAAAGGAAACCTGCACTCCTATGCTTACAGCAGCATTTTTACATTATTACAATAGTCAGGATATGGTAACAACCTAAGTGCCCCAAAACAGTTGAATGTATATAAGTACACACAATGGAATACTATTCACCAATCAAAAAATATATACTCATGCCATTTGCAGCAACAGGGATGAAGCTGGAAGGGGTTATGCTTACAGAAATAAGCCAGAAGGATAAGATAAATACCAGATGGTGTCACCTATAGGTGGAATATAGGGGAAAAAAGCGTCAGACAAAAACAATCTTTAAAACTAAACTTTGAAAGCTGTCCATAGATCTATGGGTTTCAGAGGGGGATAAAGAGGGAGAGATAGCACAATAGACTATGGTAGAGGACTATGGGTGCTTCGGTGATAGGAGTGCTATGATGACTACACCTGAGGGGGGAAATCCTATATGGTCAAACACTGGCAAGGATTTAAAACAATGGTACTTAAATAAAAATAAAATAATTATTTTTTAATTTTTTTAAGATTTATTTTTACACAAAAACTGGGGTACAGGCCAGAGGTGCAGTAGGTGAGAGGATTCACCAGAGACAGTAAGGAACAGGTTGGCGGAAATACACTGCTGAGGGGAGCAGCGGGCAAGACAGGAGAGGTCTTCCACGCCATGTGGGTATCTCCCTGGCCAGCTGGGAATTGAACCTGTGCTGCAGAGGCTGCAGACAACTTCACTCAAAGTGAAGCTGCGCTCAACCCGCTGCGCCACCAGGGAGGCCCCAATAAAATAATTCTTAAAAAATTAAATTAATAAAAAAAAGAAATTAATATGGTGAGGTGTATACAGTGTGAGCACAATAAATAACAACTTGAGGAAATTTAAGATTTTATTTTCAATTTTAGGTTAATTAACAGTAACAAATAAATTTGTGTTTTTATTAAGGCTAGCATTATGCACACTGGACCAGTATCTGGGTTTTCAAAGTGCCGTATTTCTTGGCATGGGTAAATCCATGATTATTTCAAAAAGTCTGAATTAGACACTACACAAGTGATTATGCATACAATAGTGAAAGAGAATTCCAAGGGGAGGAATTACTTGAAAACTGAACCTAATTTAATTTAGAAAAGTCATCCAATAACTGAGGACTTTAAATTATTTCAAATTAGGGCCTCCCTGGTGGCGCAAGGGGTTAAGACGCAACCTATGAAGCAATCTGCAGCCACTGCAGCACGAGTTCGATCCCCAGCCAGCGAGCTACCCATATGGCCCAGCAGTGTATTTCACTGCTCCCCTCAGCAGTATATTTCAGTCAATCTGCCTGTTCTGTAACCCACTCTGTCTCTGTGAATCCTCTCACCCCCCCCACACACACCTCTGGCCTGTACCTCAGTTCTTATATGCATAAATAATAAATAAATCTTAAAAAAATTCTTTCAAATTAAATTTACAGAATTAAATGTAAATGAACTAACCACTTTTTGGGTTCCTACATATGTACAATGGGTTAATATATGAGAAGACTCTATAAACTGCAACAAGTCTAGTTATTCTTTGTATTCTAGCATTCTAAAAAACACTGCAGTTAATATTTAACAGAAAACAAAGTCTATCTCTTCTTGTTTCTTTTCTACTCCTATTTAGTTAACAAATAAAGTGACCATATATGAAGGGTAAAAACAGAAAAACCCTTTGACATTTTTAAACAAGTAACACTAGATAGGTGGAAAATTAGGGGGTTGGTTTGGGAGAAAGCAGGAATGGAGAGATTTAAAGCTATGTTTTATCTTAAATTTTCCATTAGCTTCCTTTTTATAATCACATTTAAGAGAAAGATTAAAAAAATTTCTAGATATTTTTTCAAATTAAGGTTTTCTAGTAGTTTAAGTTTTTGATAAATTTTAAGAAAATCATACTCTAAATCTATTAGCTGAATTTTTCCACAATCAGATACAAAGACTAAAATACAGTCATATATATGATTGCATATATCCATACACATATATAAGAAAAATATCAGGTATAAAGTTGCCTAGCATCTTGGAGAATTATCATTTAAAAAATGAACTCACATGTGAAAAATAAAATTGTGGTATATTTGGTCTATTCTCAAAGGAAGCAGATTACAATTTCACACAGTATAATAGTAAAACTTATACGTTATATATTTCACATATTTTTGGTGAAAATTAGTTCTAATCTTTTACTAACTTAAATGGTTTGTATATGACATATATACACATATGTACACGCATGTATATTTAAATTTTATTTTTACATGGAGATATTAATGAAATATTAAATGCTACCAATGATAAACTTACGAATCAACATGCAGAACCCTCTGGCCACTTCTTGAACATGCAGCTGCAATGATGGATTCAGGCAAACCTATAAAAACATACACCTATATCATTTAGAATGCAGAAATATAACTATATAGTTGTACATACATACTATGTTCAATTCAGGTGATAGTGTATAGAAGAGTTTACAAAAGAGGCTCATCCTTATATTCAAAATTATAAAGTTTATATTATTACCACCATTCAATGTTTCTTGAACGTATGCCACTAACGTTGAAAACTTTGCTATCTGGAAGAGATATTTTACAAAATCAAATACTTATTCTAATCTATAAATTATAATTAATGAGCAACTGTCAAAATATTGTTCATATAGTACTTTGTTATTTCCTAACTGCATTCACATACTAGGTCATCTGAATCTCCCAATCACACTGAGAGAAGCATTTGCATACACAATTTAGCAATAAAGAAGATACTGGGGCAAAATATGTTAATGTGTTGTCCAAATAAACTACTAGAAAACAAAAAAAGTTCTAAAGTTGAAATTTGAGCTCACACCTAATTCCAAGATCACAACACCTGAGGAGGAATGGCATACTTTTTTTTAGTTTAATCAATAGATTAATTAGTTTAAAAAGAAGCATTGTGTTAATACAACAGTTTGAAAAGCTTACTGTTTTAGAATCAAAGCCTCATCATAAAGTTGGTTATCATGAAAGCCAAAATATATTACTACTGTTATTTACAAAAAAAATGAGAATTAAATCAGACATAAGAAAATTCAGTTGTTTACCTATATCATAAAGTTAATACTCTATTTTATATATTCAAGACTCTTCCATAATGCTTCATCATAAGACTTACCATTCAATAGAGGTTATTAAATATATCAGTCCAGGAATGAAGCATGTTTTTATAGCTTAGTGCAAACTCTTTCACTATCATGAAACACCTGATCCTCTTGAATTTTTATTGCTTAGTAGAAAAGCAGCAGCAGCATTCTTTTGGCAAGAGTTTAAACTTCATTAAAGACTTCAAGAAAAAGGATCACGATCTCAAGAAGAAGGAACAGTTATCTCTCTTATGTAAAAAGCAATACTTACACGGAAGCAACTGACATAGTCAATCTCTAGTAAAAAAAAAATAAAAACAAACCCCACTTGCATTCATGAATTAACTAATTTTCCAGATAAAATAATGCCATTCTCAGCAATATGAATGGAGCTAGAAGGTATCATCCTCAGCAAAATAAGTCAGAAGGAAAAAGAAAAATATCAGAGGAATTACAGGAGGAATATAAGGGAACCAAAGGAGGAACCAAGGGAAAAATAATTAACAATAAAAAAAAAGCAACAATAAAGAGACAACTATAAATCAGAGACCAAAGCGAACGTGGGAAGAACACAAGGGACTATTGTGATGGTGCACAGGTGAACTGGTGGTGGAAATCCTATGGGGACTACACCTGAGAAAAGAAAGCCAACATTGTTAAAAAAAAAAAAGTAATAATGATGTAAAATATAATTTAAAAAATTAGTCTCCTCTATTTGACCCAAATTAGCTATCACTTTGGATAGGCAAAAATGCAAGTGGTTATTTCCGTGGCTGTAATCAACACTATCAGAAGCCAAGTACCTGATGACAAAGCAAAGCCAAAGATAGGTTTCAATAATGAAAATGATTTGAGTCCAAATTACATAAAACCAAAATCACTATCATTCATTTTCCTTTCTTTCACCTAGAACTCCTCATGTTTGTGTAACTGACAGGCTGTTTCAATGTTAAAAGGCAAGGGCCTGTTCTCTAAATGGTTAAATAACGGACTAATAATACAATCAGTAATTTCTTCCTGTCAATGATTTCTTATTTCTTCCCACCAATGAATAAACATTGAGTTCCCTGAACACAATAGAATCTACTACATGCCTCCTCTGTTCAAAGAAGAGGGAAAAGGAGGAGAGAAGAATGGAGCAGTGATAGGTAATGAGAAAAAAAGATTAAGGCAATCCCTAGTCTAAAACAGTTCAGAGTCTAAACAATAAAATTTAAAGGGATTGAAATAATAAATGCAATTTAAACTGTTATAGGAACACAATGAAAAAAAAGCATTCCTTTTGCAGAGGAGAGTCATGGAAAGCTGTAAAGAGCAGGGCACTTTCACAATTTCTAATAACCCATTTGTAGAGTGTCCACAAAGGAAAAAGTAGAAAGTTAAAGGAAAGTGGAAGGGTACTAAAAGGTGATGCTTAGAAAAAAGATACTACCTCACACTGGTGAGAATGACCAAAATCAAAAAGACCAAAATCAAGAACTCCTGGTAAGTATGTGGAGAAAAAGGAACCCTCTTACACCATTGGTGGGAATGTAGATTGGTCCAGCACCTGTGGAAAACAGTATGCAGGTTTCTCAAAATATTAAAAATGGATCTGATATATGAACCAATAATTCCACTTGTAGGTATCTAAATGAAGAATACACAAATGCTAATTTGAAGGGAAACATGCACACCCATATTCACTGAAGCACTATTTACAATAACCAAGCTATGGAAACAACCTGAGTGCCCAAATACACATGAGTGGATCAAGAAGATGTGGTATACATATACCCAATGGAAAACTACTCAGCTATAAAAAAGATAAGACTCTTGGATTTGTGGCAACATTGTGGAGTTAGAGAGGATATGCTAAGGGAAATAAATCAGAAGGAGAGAGACAAATACCTGATGGTGTCCCTTATATGTGGAATATAGGGAAACCAAAGGGTCAGATAAAGTCAAACGAAGAACTAACCTTAGAAAGCTGACTATAGAAATGAGGCTACCGAGGGGGAGGGCCAGGAAGAGAGGGAAAGAGCAAAGTGGTAGGGAGCACAATGGATTATGGTGGTGGACTATCAGTGGTTTGGTGGTTCGTGCAGTGTGGTAACATCACCTGAGAGGGTAGACTATATTTCTAATACAATTATGTGAACCAGTTACCTTAAAGAAAATGATTAAAAAATTTTACAAAGTGTAGCTGAAGTCAAACTTGAATTGCCTCTTAGCAAACTTTAAGTAATCTTCAAAAATCTAAGATCTTAAAATAACTTTTTACAAGAATTTCAGTAGTCTTTTCTATATGTATACTATAGAAATTCATCAAATACTTAATATCATTTAAACATTTCACATTACTAAAAATGATTATTAAAGTCATTAGCAAGTTTGTATCAAATTCTGCCAAAAGGCTGTGTAGGGGAAAATGTATACTTCTGATGCAAGACCAACAACTTTCACTGGCATAGAATTTTTATCAAACACAAGGTAAATATTAGGTATTGAATTAGCATTTCATAACCATTTGTAATGGGGGAAATTTGGGTTTGATACACCGTGTCCTTCTCAGTTTAGGTTTTGCTATAAAGCTAACAGCTAAAATAAATATATATATTAGAGGATTATGAAATGTTATATAATAACATAACAACATATATAGTCCCTGCTTTCTGCAATTTCCCAAAAGATATCTAGGTAAAATAGGTATGTTTCATTATCAAATGAAGGAACCAGGTTGAAACCAGGACCAAAAATGTACAAAATTAGTATTACCAAGAATCTTATCTAAAATATTTTATATGTAAGTGAAACCATTTTTCAAAATCCACTTTTAATCCAAATCCTTAATGTTGAACTTCATAACTTTATTATTTAGATTTCTCTATAATCTATTCTTAAATCTGTATTATACCTGTAATTGATTTTTCCTAACATTATACTACATAAGGTAAACATAAAGTACTTACGCCACTCCCAGCATATCAAACAATAAATATTAAGTTCCCTGACAAGACTTTGATGACCTGGCAAAGCCTGAGTGCTTTCAGCCCAAATCATATGAAACCATAAATCACTATTTATAGAACATTTCAAAATAGATCCATGCTTTCTACCTTAAAAGTCATTTGATGTGTTATTTATAACTAGTGAAAACCAAAATGGAAAGAAAATTACATAGAACTAGAAAATTTATCGTGAATGCTTTTTATAAATAACTTTTTTAGGAAAAACATGGAATTACTGGCAAGAAAAATTTGTGAATGCAAGCTTTTAGAGACCCACATCCTTTACTGCATCATTGTAAAGAAACCATAAAAAAATTATGTACAGAACTGACTAGACTGAAAATTGCAAAAGTAAAAACTACATACCTCTGTCACATCCACTCAAATAATTAGGCAGAAATTGAATTTTAACCCAGGTTCAAGTAGTTTTGTTGATTTCTATTAAAGTATAAGTAAAATTTATATTTCATATCTACTTTTCAAGTTACCTTAAAGAGGAAAAAACTGCCAGTGAAGTAGTCTAGGGAACTAAGATGTTCCAAAAAACTATTCCTTATAAATTGACACTTTGATTCACTTTGACCCACACAAGATAACAAACATACTAGTCCTTATATGTTAAATATATATTGAAATATAGACAGATGGAATGACATATCTGGAATTTGCTTCAAAATAATCCAGGATTAGATGGTGAAATGAGAAGGTTGGTGGATGGTACAGAGAAAATGAGATCAGCAACACATCTGTTAGAAATGGAAGATTAGCAGGACATGGGGGATTATTTCATTCTACTATTTTGTCTGAAATTTTCCACAATAAAAAACCATAAGAAATGGGGCCTTCCCTGGTGGCGTAGCGGTTGGGCGCTGGGCTGAGAAGCTGCCTGCAGCCTCTGCAGCGCCTGTTCGATCCCTGGCATGCCAGCGAGGGTCCCACATCGCCCGCAGACTTCTCCTGCCGCTCCTGCTGCTCCCCTCAGCAGTATATTTCGTCGGTCTGCCTGTTCTGCTACAGGCTCTGGCTCTGGTGAATTCTCTCACCCTCCCACGCTTCTGACTGTACCCAGTACTTGTATAAATAAATAAATCTTTAAAAAAAAAAAAAAACTTTTAAAAAATTTAAAAAAAACATAAGAAATAAATGGAAAATAAAATTTCGTACCAAATTTTAGGGAGCTAATGAAAGAGTCGGTCTAACAAAATATCCTGAAAAGCACAGAATTAGTATTCTGTGACCTAAATGGAGTAATTATATTAA